AAATAAGCAAAATGAATCTGTAGTCAGTTACTAGTATCCTATCTACTAACGTTCGACCGCCGTTTCAACCGAGATATCAAATTTAGGAGTGTAAATAGAAATGGTTCTTTATTTTGGCAAGTTGAGGTCAAATGAATGATTTTACTCGGATCACGTAGGCGTTTTCCGCAGACCTAGCATACATCAATGGCGCGAGATTCTAAAGTTCTATTTGAGGAAGTTTGTTATCTTATTCGGCACAAGGTTCGGACATTAAGATCTCCAATGTGTAGTTTAGGGTGCGATTTCAGGAGACCGGGAATAACGATTCGCGTACTCGAATCGTTTGCATCAGCTGCGCGAAATGGTAAAGGAGTGAGAGAAGGATTGGTCGTGGAGATAAGAAAGTTATTAGGAAGTGTAGGAAAGAATTGACTGTGACCGATTCGGTCTCGTTTGCTGTTATGGGTATGAGGGCGGACGTCACTTCCCTGCTGCCCACGCCGTAGAAGGGCAGTTGACGAGGAACCTGAAAAAGAAGATAGATTAGCGTTGACCTTAGCGACCTAGTCACTTTTTATTCAAAATGATGATGAACGTGTCAGGAAAATTAAGGAGTCTATGAAAATGATAATATGAGATCCAGATTAGTTGAAGAGCTGAATTCATGGCTACTAAGTAGACGTTTTCAACCACCTCCAGCCACTTCGATATGAGAAAGCGAGTAGTACCATTAACTCTTTATATATTGGTTTACTCACATCAAAATTGAGCCTACAAAAAGACCAAATAATATTTTTATTTCCTCCTGGACACAGAAAAATCTACAGTGTTGCCTTTTGAAATATAAATTGCTTCGGTTTTCAAATGTTGAAAATCATTGACGATTCTCCTACGAACTTATGTCAATGAAAATCAGAATTAGGATATAAATTACTGGTCAAAAACTAAACTGAAAATACTAAAGGTCATTATAAAGGAAAATTTGGAAATCTAAATCGACGATATACTACACAATCTTCGAAATGTTAGCGTAAAAGAAATCTAGCTTACTCTAGATGTCTCTAAAATCAGTTGATGGTTAGTGGATTAAATTCAAAAAATCTTCTCAAACTACTTAAATTCTCAAAAGTAGGGTACTTCGAAATGAAAATTTATGTTTTAAAGTTCCTACCACTATAACAAAGAGATGTGAATTGGTTCTCATCAGGCTCTATAATTGCGTTCAGACTATTAATCAAAAAGTAATCTATTTTTAAGGCAAATTTATTTGGATAGATCAAAGTAACGAATTCAGGGTGGCTCGTAAATGTGGAAATGACTAGTATGTAATGTGTCCTTGAATCTGCTTGTCAATAAATAAATACTGATAACGTAGGTTGAGAAAAACAATCATATATGATCATTAATGAGATATCAAGCCAGGTAAACAGGTGACTGCATTAAAACTAAACAGAGAGAATCCAACTCACACATTGGTCGCTATTCAGTGAACAGTAAATGTAAATGTTTCAGTCCTAAGAGCCATTAGTCATGCCCCAAACAGCTTATTGGTAACATCATAGACTGTTAAGTCGGGTAACAACCCGGCAGGAAGCATTAGTTTCTTTAAAACTGATAACTGTCAAGAGATACAAAATCCAGGCCAAACAGGGTTGTCTACAGACTACTACATCAAATTACTAAAATTAACGAAATGAAATGTTTGTTCAAAGCTTATGTAATACATAAAACCATGTGAATGAAGATAATTCTAAGAAACAAGCGTTTTAACAACAAGATGAAAACTAATTAGACGGGCAGTCTGATACGCTGGAATAATAAGACAGTGGCTTTCTCTCCTAAGGAATAAGATGCACAACAGTGGTTGAAAATGACTCGGTTTTCTATAAATACGGGTGAATGTGTAGATGTTTATCAATTCAATTTAGCCAATACAGATTCTTTCACACTCAAAGTAGCTGGTTTAAAGTCGTGTGTAGGAAGCTTCTGTGTCGTAATTAGAACCGAATAGCGTACAACACAACCTAACCACCGGTATAGGTCACATTGTTAATTTTAAAATCTTAAGAAATTAGTGTTACCGGCTTGTACATAAAGTGAAGACGAATCTCTTAGCCATCACTAAAGTATATGTAACACTGTCAATGGCACATTTTGCCATAGAACAACGCCAAAAATTTATCATAATAAAAACAATTGATTACCTATTTCTGATTAACAGAAGAGAAACATTATGCTTATATTCGATAATATGACTAATACTCTATTATTGATCCATGAACATATCTAATATCCTTCAGTCTGTTGTCCGTGACTAATAGCTAAAAATCTAATACATACAAAATACACGATATTGATAAAACATTATGTTACTGTTACGCATGCACGTGAACATGTCAGTTGATATGCTTGAACTATCATGAGTTTAGCTTAGTCGGAAAACGAGAGCGAGGATCCGGCGACACGACAAGCTACTTTATTTCCGATTTTCCCAACCCCCCTTTTAGTAAAATAAGAAGACTTAATATGAAGTAGAACCTATATTCTACAAGCATCCAGAAAGTACGAAGTCCGAGGCCAGAAGACGATAAAAATCCCGGACTAGGGATCCGGGTCCAGGTCATAAAACGTTATAGACAATGCGTAGTTATACAGTTAGGTCGAATAGGAAACAACATTGAAGCATGTGATATTGACGGTAAAGACGACCATAATATTGACCAATAGGAACTGACTAATAGAATTATACTTACAAAAATAATTCCCTTAGGATATTTGATGAATATCCTAACAGTTACTTTCTCAATTCAGCAGAATATGAAAACTGACCACTGAAATCAGTTAAAGGAAGAAAACAACAGTTACCTTTTATATTTTGTTAAAATTGTTAGTTAACTTGGTTCCTACAGTATATAATTGGAAGAATATCGTCAATTCTTTCAATTAGAGTTATGGAGATCACTACTTTTACAAATAGAAATCATGAATTAATCACCGTTAGACCACTATTAGAAACTTGGAAGCACTGGACGGCCGTTCCGTCCTGGCATGGGACTCATCAGAAGTGTACATCCACGACTCCTGCTACTCGCAGGATTCGAACCCAGGACCTTCGGTCTTGCGCACGAACGCCTAACCTCTGGACCGGCATCCAACGGTGTTTTGATGTCTAACTCTGAACTCACCCATTTGTACTCGGTAGATACACCCGACAGAGTTGAACTCCACTGGTCACGTCTCCTCACTAGAACTCCGAGAATTTCCTCACGAAGCTAGTATCTAGTGACCACATTGTATCATTCATGACTTCTATGTGTAAAAATTTCTTTATTAATTACTCATGATAGTACCCGAAGATTAGGCCTACGGGTTAGGTTTTAAATGACAGAAGAATGAGTGACCTACAGGATAATTTCTCTCGATTGCTCATGACATTTTATCATTCATATTTTGTGCTTATATTCTGTATATGAACGTATTATTTTTACTACAGGAAAAATATATATATCGGTGCTGTCAATCTAATGAGCAGTCACCAGTCAGCTACATCATTTCGTTATCAGTCAGTCAGTTACAAAGTAGAACTTCGTACGTAAGTAAATCAGTTCAGGTTGCCATTCCACATTAACAAAGAGACGCAACTGTCAGTTCAGATCGCATAGTGGTAGCGATAGTAGAAGTATTAGCAGTAATGGAGAAGATTAGGGAGCGAAGATATGATTCGAGAAGTATAATTCAGTAAGATAAATTTAGAAGGAGAAAGACAGAGATTATGATGAGTTCAGAAGGTTAGAATTTGAGAGAACACGAAGAGTGGATGCACTTGAGCCATTGCAAACGATTTTGAGCCATGTCGTTCAAGGTCTCTAACCATTGGTAACTTTCGTCTCGCAGACCTCAAACAGGTAGCCTACATCTACCAACATGACTCAGTCCACTGGTTGTTTTATGAACCATCTAACACTGTAATTATTATTGCAAATGACCAGAGATACAGAATGTATACTGACTGGATAAATATGACAGTGTATGTTAAGTTTAGTCTACTAAACTAGCTTCGGGGACGCATACACCTGTGCTACTTTAATTGAGTTAGATCCAAATCCTCTGAAGTTATAACCACAACTACAGCTATTTTGTGGCATTATATAGGTAAATGTGAGCCTCTCTTCAGAGTCCAGGTTTATGAAGTCTTAGATTTAGATCTTCGTGGTAGTGGATATAGTTAAGTACTCAGTTTTCAAGATTTAGGTCGCAGGTCATACGACACCAACTTCAGTTTGGGCAGACCGGTAGGAAAAAAACTTTCCCTCACAGAGTGACTCGACGCTGAAAATGTACTAATTAAATTAATTCCACGCTTTAACTAACTGTGACATTTGTACTTGAAAGTGATTTCCAGCACCTGATTTGATTTCCCAAATACAATACGTTCGTCTGAGCCTATGCAGTTTTTTCCTTAATTCAGTACTGGTTCATACGTGACTACCGGATAACGAATTGGACGTTTCTGGATATTACTAGCTAGTATATGGAACAAATTTACTCCTGATTACTATAAGGTTATAAATTCTAAAAATCCTTCCATTTTCCCGTAAAAATAAACGGAATCAACAACTCATTTCATTGTGTTCATCTATTGATAAGTAATCTATTCATTGATTTTACTGATTCAGAGTTCGTTTATCAGTCATCAAAAAAAAACCTTCTACAAAACAATTAAAAGTGTAAATGTAAAAACAGAACTCGATGAAAACTGATTAAACTGTTTCTTTATAAGCTCCAACCATTCCTCGAATTAACTATTTTGGATGTGTATTACTTCTGAAGGTCCAAATTCATTAAACAATCATTACCGACTGCAAGTTGAAGCTTATTATAAACAACAGTCAGTGGTTTCATAGAATAAGGCTATACATTTGTAATACATTTTCCAATTTTATCAGTCAGTGAAGATTCAAATTCTCATCAACCAATAAGCTGTCTTCAGCTAGTATCTTACATCTACCCGTAGCATTGCTCACTTGGTGGCTCTGTAGTGCCTCCACATATATTCCAGTTCGTTTACAACTAACTTGGTTAAGCTCTTTCGATTAATTCATTTAACCAAGCCATTCACGTAGCAACAACTTATATGTACCATTCTTTCTTATTGTCTGGTTTGTATGAGCTCGCATGACATGTTCCACTTGTCATTTGACCTTGTTAATCATTCGTCGCTTTTTTTCATGTGTGTGCTGCCTATCTCGTTGGTCACATGTCTGCCTTATTTATGTCTGACTATATATTCTTAGTCATGCTCTATTTCTTTGACTTGGCTCTTAGCCTTCTCCAATGCGTTTTGCCTATTCGTTCGCTTCTTTCGGTGCTTTTCAACTTCGCTATACGGTGTGTCCAAAATATAAACATATTCATTACTTCGAATTCGCCTTCTGATTTATAAGCCGTCAGACGCTATTTGGTAACCATTGTCTGGACGAGCTAATTACGAAGCATAAGAACACACAGTAAATTTGGACCCCACAGCTCCATGATACACGAGCAATGCTTCGAACATATCTACTATTAAAAATAATTGTAACTAGTGAATGTTCTTTATCTTCGAAGGCCAAAATTCACATCCATATAGTGAAACAGAGCGGACTGCTGTACAGTACACTCATTTTTTTGGTTAATAGATAAACATCTCCCCTACGCAAGTGACTCATATCGGCAAAAGCCAAAGAAACTTTCTAAATCAGCACCGACATTTCGTTGGACGCCACCCCAACAAAGACTGAAGAAACTTCTGAGGTAATGAAAGGGATTAATCAAGGCGTTGGTGATGATCAATTCTGAAGAAATATTTTGTATTTACAGGGAAAGAAAAACACAATACAACTTTTTCGCAAGATTCTTCAAGGCGTTCAGATCACATTTTGTCAATGTATTCAAAAAGGACAATGTCTTCTAAGTACTCCAAGCGAACTAGTGAATCTCAAGGATGAGGATCAAACTTCTACAAAGTTGGATGGAGAAAATGTAACTTATATGAGGATATTAGCAACGAAGTTAATTAAAAATGGAAACAGTAGGTAACCCTAATGAATGACACTTGAGATTGATAATGCCGATGACCATTTGGCACAAGCCCTGATTTAATAAGTGATGCCCTAAAAAGAGCCTATACAAGGTTTGTGTACATTCTAAACGCATCATTTTGGGAGTCTCATCAGCGCTGATAGCCTGGTGACTGACGAAATCTCAGCTCGGATACAGAAAGCTCGATTGGCTTTTGCCAACCTGCGTCAATTATGGCGTAGGCGTGATATCTGTTCGCTAACCAAAGGACGGGTGTACTGCGCAGCAGTTCGCTCCGTTCTCTTATATGGCTGTGAAACATGGCCGTTAAGAGTAGATGTTCGTAGGTTACTAGTATTCGATCATAGATGTTTAAGAAGCATTGCTCGTATATCGTGGGACGACCGAGTAAGCAATGCTGTCGTTAGGAAACGAGTACTAGGTAAGGATGGCAGATCAATAGATGAAGTAATGAAACTTCATCAGTTGCGGCGGTTGGGACATGTGTTACGAATGCCTAACCACCGACTGCCTCGACGAGTTATGTTTCGTAGTGTAGGAGTAGGTTGGAAGAAAGTTAGGGGCGGCCAAACCAAAACATGGCAGAAATCCATGAAGTCACTGACAAGTGGACTGAGTCATGTTGGTAGATGTAGACTACCTGGTTGGGGTCTGCGAGACGAAAGTCACCAATGGTTAGAGACCTTGAACGACATGGCTCAAAATCGTTTGCAATGGCGCAAAAGCATCCATTCTTTGAGCTCTCTCAAATCCTAATCTTCTGGATTCGTCAACACCTCTACCTTTGTCTTTCTAACCTTATTTCACTTAATTATACTTCTTGAATAATATCTTCAAACCCTAGTCTTCTTCATTACCATTTATACCCCTACTATCTTTATCACTATGGGGTTTGATTTGACATCTGCGTCTTTGTGCTAATGTGGTATGGTAACATGAACTTATGTACATACGTACGTAGTTCTACGTTGCGACTGACTGACTTACTAAACACATCATTTTAGTGAAATACACTCCCACGAAACCTTTCGGCCAACTACTTCAGATAACGCTTATGGTAAACATCTGTTCCAAAACCTAATGAAGAGTGAATATAAATTAATAACCGCAAAATAAATTAAAGCAGTTATATTTTTACAAAACCGAATACACATTGGTTAGTACTAGGAATAGATACTACATATGTACAAACAATGGGCTGAAATAACACTAAGGTTCTGGGAAACGTCTTAAAAGTCTAGTAACTTGTTCTGATGATAATCGATCAACTGGTCCACCAGAATTTGTAGAAGAAAACTCAAGTCCTGACTTCCGCGCATCCTTCTTTGCTTTACGCTTTTCCTAAATGAAAAAACAACCAATAAATCAAATCCAATTATAAATGAAACCAACCTCCATTACTTGGACACATTTATTGAATGTGTCTACTACTTGTGTACAAGGGCGTTCATCATAATCACTATTTTTTAAACAAGCTAACATTGCTAACATTTCTTCAATACAGATAGCTCCTTGAATAAAAAGAGATACGATAATTATACATATTACTACAATAACAAACTTCTTCCTCTATCACCTTTTCCAATTACTGAATTTTTAAGAACTGGAGTCCTGTAATATTCATACTTATAATATTCAAGGTCTGGGAAATGAGCTGCAGAACGTTTATAGAGTTTACTGCATACATCTGTCAGCTTCATGTGAAGATTAAATCAATTGCAATCTATGAAAAACAAAGGTAAAACAAAAATGTTGTCACTTATTTCTGTCATCTTTATTTAATATCAAAGTCACTATGATTGGAACTGTCGGCTAAGTTAAATGAGTAAAAGAGTATGATGAGCAACTTTTAGTTTCATTACATCAATGAAGTGGAACATGGTCTCTCTGACTGTCAAAATTAATAAATCTATCAGTTTTTGAACGATTGTTAATTTATGTAACTAGAACATTTTATGCATCCACTTCACACTGGTACGGTATGCCTTAGAAAGTTAAGGAAACATGAAGAGTAAGTGAAGATATGATAATAATTACTGGAGTTAATGACTGTCTAGGGTTCTGGAGCTTCATTGAAATCGTGGACTGATCAATGTTAAACTACTACTGGAAACCTAGCAGCACTAAGCGGCCGTTTCGTCCTAGATTCATCAGAAGTGCGCGTCCACGACCCAGCGATCAGTCCCATACTAGGACTAGCTGTCCAGTGCTGCCAGGTTTCCGATAATAGTTTAACATTGATCGGTTCACCGTGTTTGAATTGTTGCTACACGCAGTATTTAAAAGAACAGTGATAATTTTCCTCCTTGAATTAAATTTATAGTTCTGATCGGTTATGACGTATCCAGACTACAACTTGTACTCTGATTGAATTAGTTCAGAGAAAACAACACAAAGAGATAATCATTTAAAACCTTACAGCGCATAATGCAACTTTGATTGGTACTCCCGCAAATAAAAAGTTAGAAGCAACCGAATATCATTAAGGAAAAGCCAGTCCCCTCAAAAGTAGTTCCAAAATCGAAGACTAATTACAGTAACAGGTCAGTCACCTTTAACGGAGTCAAGGAGAGAGAAAGGTTTGAGACTAGAATTCCGGGATCACCTTGCTGAAATACTAAGAAGCCAAAAGTAAAGTTAAACCAGGTTGCTGAATGTAGTGTTTTATTCTCCCAGTGAAAGGGACTTAATACTACAGAGTAGACATTAAGCCAAAGGGGTTGGGAGCTTTTGTCCGTCAAGATTTGTCACTTGCGGACCGTATTAAAAGACTAAAAGCCGAAAAAGAACTAAAACTAGGGTTAAATGATGAAGAGGAAGCCCTTAGAAATTCGGCTGACTCCGTCTGTAGTCAATCAATAACTTGATTTTGAAGATTCGATATTAGTTAGAGCCGACAGAACCCAGAAGCAGAAACGAGCAGTAGCTTCATTCATTGGAAATACAGTTCCCCCTATCGTTATCGATAACATACCCCATGATAGCGGAACGTGTGAATCAGTTCCCGATCAAAATACAAGGTATGGGAGCTATTGATTGGTTTGGTTTACTGCAATCCACAGTGCGAGGTGAATGAGATATTGTTAAGGAGACTCAAAACTTAGTCTTTCGGTAGCCAGTGTTTAATCCTAGGGGATTTTTAATACACTTATGGCTGACTGGAAAAATCTAAGGACTGAACTGTCAGAAAATTCTTTCAAACGAAAGCCAGTTGATGTGGTTACTACATGTGCCCTAGTGTGAAAGAAACAACTAGGTAAGACCCGGGCTTCAAACCATCTTTACTAGATTTAATATCGACCCATTATGAGGATGAGGACACAAAGCCCTCATATCTTCCCAAAGGAGAATTCATGGGGACACTTAACACGTTCACTAGCTCAGAATAAATGACTTGTCAGCTAAAAATAAACCTTGCTTTGGAATCGTAACGTAACTTCAAGGTTTGACGACGGATGTGATGAGTTTATTGTTTCGGTATATTTCAAAATTGGTAGAAAATATGGGCTTACAAGCGAAACCTAAAAAATTCGGAGTCGAGAATAACTGTAGCGGTTTGCGTCTAGCCAGCAGTTAACTTGTGTACTACAGGTGACGGGGTAGCATGGGAATAGAGAGCTAAAAGAGAGCAGGCACAGATAAAGCTAATGCATTCAATGAAGACAGCATTAAAAAAGGTAATTTATAACACAAGCGTCAGATAAAGACAATCTGGAAACCAAAACTAAGAGCGAAGTTTCTTAAACACTACAGTAACCTTGAAAGACGCGAGAACTGAAATCCGCTCCAAAGAACTTTCAATATCCTATAATGCTGTGGGTAGCCTTTGTGAAAATAGGTACAGTGATAGTAGATTGAATTAAGAGGCTTCTGTATCTAGTAAAGTCGAGTCATCGATTCGTTTGTACAGAAATCAAGATACACTTAACGATGAAAAGGAAAATACTAATGAAGTACTATATTCAGCCCTCAAGTATATTTCAAGTTACTTCTTGAAGGACTCCTGAGGAGCCACTCGGATAACTCCGACCAGAATTCGATTACTTTTTCACAGTTGAGAGGCACTGCAATCTTTCATTATATAACCCAAGTTTTGTGTTAGGACTAAACGAAAAGTTAGCATTTCAGGGGATACTTGTGAGTGTTTAGGAGGTCGTCATGAGGTAAACTCTTAGGTGCATATACTATAACGAGTGAGGATGTAGTGACTTAAGATTTGAGTCGTACCATTATGTATATCCCAGTATACTGACATTATTTCGTAGTAAAGTAAGAAACAAGATGATTCCGTACTCGAAAATGGGCGGAATAGGACTGTTAAAAATTAAGAACAAATCTCTACCACCAAACTGGTCAAAAATGCACATCCACGTTATTACTAGTCATTAAATCTGAGTTTAGGATAACAGGTATCTAAAATTAGGACATGAGTGTATCCAAGATGAGGCGAGAAAGATAATGCATCCAGAATGTGATTATTAAAATTATTATGAGCAGCACTTTTTCTGTAGATAACTGTAACTAAGCATTTCGATGTGCTAGACCGAAACAATCAGCACCTTACGGACTAAAAACTTTTGAGTGTACACTTAACGTGCTGCCCGACAGGTACGAAGTGACAGTTCACTTTTTCTGTCACTTTTTCTTTTCACTTTTACGAACTAATGACTTGAAGGGCAATAGCAGCTTCTGAATCACGACTTCAGATGATGCCCATATTCGGCAATTGCTTAATATGTGTATTGTTAGCGTTGCTTAGTTGATAATTTCCATTTGAAGCGCATGAACGTCGTCTTCTTTGTCTGGGTCACATATTAATGGACAAGCAATCCAACTACACAGGGTTACACAAGTGAGTGACCCTTGCCCTTAGATTGTTTTTTTTTATCGATAATCAACCAGTCGAAAAATTATCTTCAGTTGGCTTTTTAGCATATTTCTTGCAACTTAGAGCCTTCCAGATGCATGGGGATCCCGCTTGGCAGCCAACATTTATTGGCATGGAATTTCTTAAGAGTAGTTGTGGTGCCTCAACATATGTTCTGGTTCGCTTACATTTAATTTGGTCAAGCCCTTTCGATTAGTTTATTTAACCAAGTGATTTGTATAGCAACAATTTACATGTGCCATTCGATATTATTATTGTCTGGTTTGTGTGAGCTCACATGACTTGTCCCTTTTGTCTTTTGACCTTGTCAATCATTCGTCGCTTTTATTCATGTGTGCATGTCTATTTCGCTTACTACGTGTCTGTCTTATTAGTGTCTGACTATAAATTCTTAGTCATGCTTTATCTCTCTGAGTTGGTTCATTAGCCTTCTTCACATAGCTTCATCCACTTCGCTTTATCTGTTCATTCGCCTATTCACTCGCTTGAAAGCTTTCCGGCGCTTGCATGACGATTTTATCTTTTGGCGCTTGTAGTCTACTGTTCTATTTGTGATGTGTCAAAAATAAACATATTCAACATTTTGTGTTCGCCTTCTATTTATAAACCGTCAGACGCTAGGTAGTAACGATTGTCTGAACGAGATAATTACGAAGCATAAGAACACGCAGTAATTGGCCACCACCAGGTGATGCACAGAAAATGCCTGCGACCATTAGCGGGCCATCAGATTTGGATGGAACCACCCATGAGAAATCATACTCATTAAAAGAACAAGCTGTAACCAACATACGGTACAAACAAAAAGTAGATGAGTAGAGATCAGAACGACATCTTAGAAGGCCTAAGAAGCCTCTCTCAATAACTGATCAGGTGAAGTGAAGAAAATCAAAAACGGATAGCTGGAGGCTGACATATTTTGCGAAAACTGATCCGTATGAGGTGAGAAACATGCATGGTACAATCGGAATGCAGACCAGTCTTACACCATCAACTAAGGTAAAAAAAAACCAAAAACGCGTTTAAGCTAGCCTGCTTCAAAAGTGGACTCAGCGGGGAGATGGATCAAAGGCAACGAAACAGCAGACGACGGCAGAGCAACGGAGATCAACACGCCTTCAGGCCCAATAGTTTGATGTCAAAACTACGTAGATGGAAATTGTCAATTATAATCAACAAAATCAGGCCCAATGAATACATTTTACGGACTTTAGAGTTAATCGTAGGGAGTTCGGAGAATAAATTGTATAACAAATCAGCGAATACAGTCACAAGCGTCGATTTTTAGTTTACTTACCATCAGGGACTGACAGGAAAACAAAGACATACACATAACCGATATAAGCTGTAGAGTGAAATGAAGGTGTGTTAAATTACCGTTCTATGACCACGTAGTTACTGGCAGTACTTAAGCAGAACGAATATTAATGAAGGTCTAGCTGTCGTTACTGTGTTACGGATCATTATTTTCAACATTTTTGTTGTATGATTCGTAGATAAATGTATTATTGTATTTCTGTTTCCTACTCACTGTAAGTTTTTTTCCAACCTACTAACTGTTTTCATTTTACTATCTCCCGATTGTTACGGATCCTTCGCGTAGCATTTTCCCAGTATCTTTGCCACTTATGGTACAAATGAATCAGAGTAAACAGTATAACAGTTTTGCCAACAGTACTTTCACTATAACTACTAGGATGACTAACCAGATCAGAGTTGATAATTCCACAATCATATCTTCTTAAACGAAAAAAATATGCAAGAAATCTGACCTACTGTTATTCAAAAGCGTTTACTTTACTGTAATATAAACAAACCCAAAGCATTTACATTAACTGACAACAGCAATAAATGAGATGCTATCAAAAATGTCATCATGTTATTCTAGGTATATAAGGTCATCGATGGAACAATATGTTCACACAAATGCATACACAAAGCTACGTGGATTTCACCGGATCGCACTACTCGGAAAACAATCGATCATATCTGTATCAACAAAAAATTCAAAAGGACCATGGTGGATGTGAGAACCAAGAGAGGAACTGATATTTCCAAAATGAAACTCAAACTTTAGAAACCCTGGAGGACGGGGCAGACATCACAGAAGTTTAATACGGCCTTTCTTCGGGATACCGTAAGACTCAACGGTAGCCCTCAGCAATAGATTCCAGGCCTTGCACAATATACTCAATGGAGAGGACGCAACATTGGAGAACAATTGGAAAGGGATTAAGGAGGCAATCACTTCAACATGTCACGAAGTTCTGGGTCACAAGAAGTACCATCACAAGGAATGGATCTCTGTTGATACGCTTGCAAAAATTGAAGAAAGGAGGAACAAGAAGGCAGCAATCAATGTCAACCGAACAAGAGAAAGTTACCGCACAAGTTGCATACATATAAGCAAACAGGAAAGTGAAGAAGAGCATCAGAGCCGACAAATGAAAATATGTGGATGATCTAGCAATGACGGCGGAAAAGACTGCAGTAGAAGGAAACATGAGACAGTTGTACGAGACAACAAAGAAGCTCACCGGAAACTATCGTAAACCAGAACGACCAGTGAAAATCAAGAAAGGTAAAGTAATCAGCAACATTGAGGAATAGAGAAACAAGTGAGTAGAGCACTTTAAGGGAATCTTGAATCGACCAGCTCCACTGAACACACCCAACATCGAACTAGCATCCACAGACCTCCCAATCCTTGTTGGCGCACCTAAAATTGAAGAGAATCAGTATGGCCATCATACAAATCGAGAGTGGCACAGCAACTGCACCAGACAACATTCCAGCAGAAGCAATGAACGCAGATGTGGAAGCAACTGCAAATATATTTACATTCTCTTCAACAAGATTTGGGATGAGGAACAAGTACCATCAGATTGGAAAGAAGGATAACTCATCAAAATAACAAAGAGAGGAGATCTCAGAAAGTGTGAGAACTACACAGGCATCACTCTTCTTTCAATACCAAGCAAAGTCTTCAACAGGGTATTGATAAACAGAATGAAGGACTTCGTAGACGCCCAACTTCGAGATCAACAGTCTGGATTTCGTAAGGATGGATCACGTACTGAACAAATTGCTACATTACGGATCATTGTGGAACAATCAGTAGAATTGAACTCACCACTCTACATCAACTACATCGACTACAAGAAGGTATTCGATAGCGTGGATAGGAAAAGACTATGAAGGCTTCTTCGACACTACGGTGCGCCTGAGAAAATAGTCAACATCATACGGAATTCTTATGATGGATTCAACTGCAAAATCGTACACGAAGGACAGCTAACATACTCGTTCAAGGTGAAGACCGATGTGAGGTCAGGTTGCTTACTCTCACCCTTTCTCTTTCTCCTGGTCATCCACTCGATTATGAAGACGTCAGCGTCTGGAGGGAACCACGGTGTTCAGTGGACAGCCAGGACGCAGCTGATCTGGCTCTTCTGTAGCGCACGCAACAACAAATGCAAGAGGAGACGACCAGTGTAGCAGCAGGTCTCAATATATACAATGGTAAAAGCAAGATTTCTCGATGCAACACTACATACGCTGATCGAATTACAGTGGATGGAGATGACTTGGAGGACGATAAAAGGCTTTACATATCTGGGTAGCATCATCGACAACCAAGGTGGATCCGATGCAGATGTGAGGGCGCGGATCGGTAAAGCAAAGGCTGCATTACTACAATTGAAAAATATCTGGAACCCCAAACAAATATCAATCAACATCAAAATCAGGATTTTTAATACAAATGTCAAGACAGTTCTACTGTATGGAGCGGAAACTTGGAAAACTACCAAAGCCATTATCCAGAAGATAAAAGTATTTATGAACAGTTGTGTTTGCAAAATACTTCCGATTCGTTGACCAGACATGATCAGAAAGAACTTTCTGTGGGATAGAACAAACTAGATTCCAGCGGAGGAGTGAATCAGGAAGAAGTCGTGGAAGTAGATAGGACAAATACTGCGAAAAGCACCTAAATGCGTCACAAGACAAACCCTCACTTGGAACCCTCATAGTAAAAGAGGAAGGCCAAGGAACACATTACGCCGAGAATCGGACAGAGACATGAGAAGAATAAACAAAAACTGGACGGAAGTGGAAGGGGAAGCCCAGGACAGAGTAAGCAGGAGATTACTGGTCAGCGGTCTACGCTCATTTGGGGGTAACAGGAGCAAGTAAGTAAGTAATGTTAGAACTTGTCAGAATGAAGCACTAATTTCTCGCCGTTTGAACTCTACAAGAAAGTCAAATCTTGAAACATAGACAAACTTCCTGCGATAATCACTCACATATAATGAGTGATTTAACACCACTTTAATCTTATTAACTTTTCAAAATGGCGAAACACCTGTTGTTTTAATTACAGATTAATATTATTCAAAAACAGAATATTTCAATTAGAATTGATAATGTTTCGTTAAATAAGACAAAAATCTATTCAATTTGTAAAAGATTACTACACTATTCGCAATAATAATTCATGATTAAATTTTCTTTAGTGATTTCTCTTCAATTAGTACTAGTATTCAGTAATGTTAAACTCATTCAACCTATAGAAATAATTGAGTATTTCATTTACATTATCTCTCCATCGTTGTTATCGATCCATAGTTTTAAACACAATAATTGTGATGCTGGTCAACTGATATGCTTGACCTATTATGAGTTCACCTTGGTAAATAAGAGCTAAGACGATTGATCCATTGCATTGACACGATAGGCTGCTTAAACCCGAGCATCCCAAAAGCCCCCACTAACATTATCAAAAAGTCTTGATATGGCGTAGAAAGTGTATTCCTCTATATAATATTGGTAACATGAAATCTATGGAAACACCTTTAGAGTTCACTTTCATGTCTAGTGGAAAAATATCGATTCGAACAACCTACATTTTTTTTTACCTCTAAGCGTTGCATGCATCGTCGATCAATGTGGCAATCTTATCATACCTGTAAACTGGTATGCTTTTTGTTAATTTTTTTTAAAAAATATTTTCTTATTCCATGAGTTCTTAATGACAATTAAACATACCAATATGATCAATCAATAATAATCTTTTCATATGAGAATCTTTTTAAAACAATTAGTTCTTTTTATAAATTTTGATAGAACAGTGAAAATACGTAATTGACGTAATTTTCGTGAAAGATCTAATCTTCGGAGTAATTGGCATAAACTCCTTACAATACCTAAGTCAGTTTATACTGTACACATTCCATGAGTGACAACAGTAAATATAGAATTTGTAACCTTGATAGTGTTTAAATTCATGTGTGTGTTTAGCCAACATGCATATGTCCTTTTAGAAATACACTCTTGATGGTTATCTGTAAAATATACAGTATTCAGCTTAGATAAACTTTTATTTTCTATATTTTTTTGACGTGATCAATCGATAGAAGATATGTGACTTCAAGAAAAAATAAAGACAGATACTTCACTAACATTAGCGGTATCATTGGATCAACAAGCTGCATGAAATTTTTACCAAATAGGGAAAATTTCCATCTGATGTTGTAATATGACTTATCGAAAATCCAACAATATCTGACTATTGTTGATGGAGTACTTCTAAAGTTACTGTCGATTCCCAAGTCAGGCATAATAAAGGGGGTGGGGATGGTTAGAAACCTCATCCCCTAGAAATTTCATTTACCCCATTTAAACTTTGTTTGTCCCAGGGATTGGAGGATCATGATTTCAACGAATGATTTAAATGTGAATTCACAGCAATGAAATATACCTGCCCGTTCTCCTTAAACCCCGACCGTAGCTGCTACCTTGACGTGGTGGTCGGGCTTGCTTATTGTGATGACCCAACCGAGCTATATTGGCTGGAACATATGTTCCTGAAGGTTCTACCATGCCAGACAGGTCGATTGGACAACGATCAGACTAAAGGCAGTTACTCAAGGTCTGAGAGCGAAGTCGCACTGCTGACTGCAGAAGACTGTGACAACAGTAAGGTGTTTCCCTCGGACAACCAGCATCTGCAGCGATGCTGCCTTCTTACAAGGAAGGAAGGGTTAGAAAAGGTCGACCCTAAAAATGTCACACCTCACCCTACCTCACGGATTTCCGTCTCCGGCGGTAAGGGTGCCCACTAAGGGCTTTCAAGAGCGGAGCTAATACTCAATATACCTTTCATAAAAAGGCCGTGCGTGATCGGCCTCAAGCAGATGTCCCCTGGGCTCTGCGGTCACGCACCACGGTCTCTATGACCAACACTAATCTATCTTCCTTTTCAGGTCCCTCAAGAAACACCCTTCCATGGTGTGGGCAGCCGGGAAGTGACAACCGCCCTCATACCCGTCACAGAACACGAGACCAAATTGGTCAAAATCAAATCCTTCTTACACCCCGTAATATCTCTCTCATCTCTACGACTAACCCTAGTCTCATTCCTTCAGCTCACTGCATCGCTAATGCAAACGATGCGAGTTCACGAAACGTCTGTCTTCTCCTTAAACAGTATAACAGTCTTTTAACACTTAACTAGCGTCTAAATAATTAATCAATCACATAACACACACGAACTAATCTACGGCGAGACGAGAACATTAGAAATATGAAAATACTCACTAAACCAGCTGTTTAGTTCGAGTATCATTGAAAATCAACATGGTGTATGAAATTTTTATCAAATATGGAAAATTCCCTCCTCGTGTAATATTCAATAACAACAACAACAAAAACCGAGTGATTGATCTTTAACTGAGAAAACAAAACAAAAACACTAAAAACTTATCTAGAAAATAAAAATAATGAATTGGGTTTTTTTTCACACAAAAAAAAGTTTAATTATTCTTTACACGGTCGTTGTTATGTTCTAGGTAGGTAGGTATCAATATTAAGAGAAATTATTTTTAAAAATGGAGTGGAAACTTGGAGATAAGATACAAGTGTTTATGAACGGTTGGTTGTCTTTGCAAAATACTTTGGATCGATTGGCCAGACACCATCAACAACAACGTACTGTGGGAGAGACCAAACCAAATTCCAGTGGAGGAGGAAATCAAGAAGAAGCGGTGGAAGTGGATAAGACACACACAGCACGAAAAGTACCCAGCTGAGTCACAAGACAAGCTCTCACTTGGAACCCTCAAGGTATAAGGAAAAGAGGAAGGCCAAGGAACACATTTAAGCCGTGAAATAGAGAAAGATATGAGAAGAATAAACAAAAATTGGACAGAAGTGAAAAGGGAAGCCCAGGACAGAGTTGGTTGGAGAAAACTGCTGGGCCGCCTATGCTCCATTTGGAGGTAACAGGCGTAAGTAAGTAAATATTTTTAAAAATTAAAAAAAAAATACAAACACAAATGTAGAGGGATTGGCTTGACGTGAACACATAAAGAAAAATCCCATACATACAAGCACAAAACAGAAATAATGTAGGTTTTTTTACATAGAGAAAGCTAATCTCAACTCATCTCTATATCTCTAAATATACTCAGAAAAAAAGGAGGGCATCAATAATAAATAAGCAAATCATTAGAAAAAAAAACAAAGAAAATTTAGAGGAAACAAAAGCACAAGAAATTAAAAATAAAAATCAATTCGTACATGAATAACAAGACAAAATATTATGTATCTTTTTTGACTACCAACAGCTCTTGATTGTTCAAAACACTGGCGTCGTCGTCAGTTCATGAATTGTCTGTGTAAGTGTGTGTGTGTGTGTGTAGGTGAGTGATTATCAAACAGGAAATCTGTTTAAAACAATTGAGTGTGTAAGTAAATTGATATTCATTTGTTTGTTTGTTTCAAAATGAAAGTTTTTATTCAATAAAATAAAATTAAACTGAAAAAACACTAAAATATGTCAAATAAGAAATATTAAAAAATTTGATAAATTTCGTTGATTTTAAATAAAATTATTATTATTATCATCATGTGTGTGTGTGTACACACACGTCAACGAATGGATAAAATAAGTCAATTGTCTGTATACAAAATTATACTATACAAGTCAATTTGGGTAAGAAAAAAAAGGAGAGAACAGAGAACAGAGAATAGTCAGTAATAAAATAACACAATGAATAGAGTAGTACTAAGCAGATCAATAAATAAATGAGGCGGGATAAAAAAATTTTGAATGAATCATTGATTTTTGTTTTTATGAATGGAGTGAGTGCGCAAAGAAAGACAATTTTTAAATAAAGGAGAATAAAAAAACATTTTGTTTACTGAATAAAAAGAAAAAGGCATATTTATTGCATATAGTCAGTTTTTAGATCATGATTATTACTATTATTATTATACTGTTTAAATATTATCAAATCCAATAGGTGGAGCGTCATTATGTAAATTAACCGCACTAGGTTGCATTGATTGTGTTACCTGTAAAAAGAGAGAGAAAGAGAAGGGGGGAAAACAAAGTGATATATTTTTTTTCATGTTTACAAATGAATTTCGAGTAATTAAATGTTTAATTTACAAAAGTACAGGATAATGTACAATGTTCAAGTTGGATTTCGATGTAAAGTGATATCAGCTAAGAGGAGTAGACAGTCGTTCTGTCCAAGTACTGTGGTGCGCGCTACTTATAAGTAGTATATGACGCGAGTGTAAACGTAATGTCTGGCAGCAGAAGATGGGGGAAGATCAAGAAAGGAAGAGTGGGAACACAATGGAATTTGTATCAAATGCATGATTAGTGAAATGTCAGACAATGGATTGAAGATTTGCAAACTAACGGTTACAATATGGTTTTCCGATTTTACTGAGTAACCCTGTAATTTTCGTTAAATACAATTCGGTTGCCCTCACCTGTGTTCTCCTTCACTACAGTACGAAACTCTTATTCGGTGTGCACTCACAACTCCACTAGAGATCAAACTCAGGATCTCTAAATTTTACTGTTAGCGCGTTGTAATTTAGATCACAGAGGAGGTATAAAGAGTAGTTGATACTTTTACTCATTGCCGATTCTAAATATGAAATTGTAAATAATTGTTTTACTACACTAGTCATAACTTCTTGCTGAAATTTTGGGAATCGGTCATAAAGTCAATCATTGGTGAACACATGACTAGTGTTAAGAGGTTTATGGGAAATTGACTGATGGTAAGCAAGCTTTGCACAAATTCAATTTCACCTCATCTTACCCAACTTGAAGCTCCATAGCATCAAGTTCCCTTATCATTCGAAATAGAATCCAAGAAATATTTACGCTACAGAATAAACTTGTTATGAATTGTATCACTGAATTTAAAAAAAAAAGCAGATAGTCAATATTTTTTTAAACCAATGTAGGTTAGCATGATCATCCAAAAAGTAAGTAACTAACAATGCTCATCATTTCAATTGATCTTACTGGCTGAAGTATCAATTTATCGGGAAACTAAATTAATTTCAAACTAGAGTGTAACCAATATATGTATATTTTTTCTCTTCTATTGTTTGTCCTTAACTTTCTTAAAATATGACATACATTTCTAACTTGGAATTCTGTTTACTGTTCGTAGACACACAGTTGCAGTGAATAAATCGATGATTACGCTCAGTATAGAGATGAATGTAGCATAGAAATAATATTTCTGATTAGTTTATACACTATGACTATTTATAGTAATAATAGTAATAATAGCAAGTACTCTTAGTTATATTCAAAACCATTTTGCAAGTAATTGATGTTACACAAATATAGCGAAAAAACATAATAACTCATTATCAACTAACAGAATTGACAGATTACTGTATAACAATCCAATATCCTAAGAGAATTGTTTGTAAATATAATTTTACTGGTCAATTTCCTATTGGTCAATTCCTATTAGTTGTCCTAACTACCAATGCCACATACTTCAAATGTTGTTTCCTATTCAACCTAAATGTATAAATACGCATTATCTGTAACGTTTTAGGATTCACTTCCTCAGTCGGTTATCTTTATCCTCTTCTGAACTCGGACCTCATACTTTCTGGATGCTTGTAGAATACATGTCCTACTTCATATCAAGTCTTCTTCTTTTACCGAATGGGGGTTTGGGACGCTCGAATTAAAGTAGCCTGTCAGGTCGCCGGATCATCGATCCTTGCTCTCGTTTACTGACGAAGGTGAACTCCTAATAGTTCAAGCATATCAGTTAACGTGTATGCGTAACACAATCTCATTAAATCAATGTTCTCATTTGTGCATAAATCTTCATCAAACCAATCCGTGTTGATGACGGAGTGAACAGACAGACAGATACAACGCAGAACTTCGTACATAATTACATCAGTTCAGGTTGCTATACCACATCAGCACAGAGACGTAACTTTCAGTTCAAATCCAAGAGTGATAGCGATAGTAGAATTATTATCAGTAATAGAGAAGATTAGGGAGCAAAGATATGATTCAAAAAGTATAATTCAGTGAGATATATTTAGAAGGAGAAAGATAAAGATTATGAGGAATTCAGAAGATTAGAATGAAAAAGTACACAAAGAGTGGATACACTTGCGCCATTGTAAACGATTCTCAGTCATATCGTTCAAGGTCTCTAACCATTATTAGTGACTTTCCTTTCGCGATGGAGTGGTGAACACAAAATAGTACAAAAAAAAACAAAAAAAAAAAACAGAACAATGTTAAATCACTTACTGAAGCATTTGGTGATGAGTGTTTTTCAAAACTAACATATTTATAAACAATGGGTTGAGTATAAAATAATTCATTACTCGCCGCATCATTATTTCCTTCTTCATATTGATTGAAATTATGTTGATTCAATTGTAATCTATCATGATGTTGTTGTTGTTGTTGTTTTAATGTGATAATTTTTTGAAAATTTACATCTTTTGTATTAATTGCAGCATTATTGTATTGTTGATTGCCTAATTCAGCATTTAAAATTATTGCATTTGTAACATTTGTCTCATGAAATATAGCTTGTTTAACACGTTTCGGTATATCTGGTACAGCTGTCATTATAATATTTGTCAAGATGGTTGCAATAGTCTTTTCAAAGAAGAAAATAATGAATCATGGGGAAATATCATCAATATAAAATTAAAACATAATATTAAAGGTTAACAATTGTAAGAATAATGCTAATATATATGTGTAGGATTTAATTTGTCTTACAGATATAATATTCTAGACAGGTAAACGCAA